GAATGTGTGCACGTAGACCTCCGCTCTTCTCTCCACATAGGCTCCTCCAGCAGCACATATTTATCCGGGGGAGCATGCATATTCATGGCGCGGCTTGATGGAGGCCGTGTATGAGTTTGGAGTGCAGGAGCAGAAGGCGAATCTTAATTCAATTATACGGCAGCTGTTCTTTGGTGCCCGTGGCCACTTTGTTTGCTCTAGAACAGAAATCTTACATTAAGTCTTCCCCGTCGCCATAAACGACCAGTACTGGAGCCGTGCGTGTTGACTTGCCAGTAACCAAAAGCCATCAACACGCCTTTAAGCAGCGTTTAATGTGTATATTTCTGAATAATCTGCGAGGCAGGAAAGATTTGTAGTTTTTTATGCACAGGATCGAACTTGATTTACTTTTGTTTTGGCTTATTACGCTGTTAAAAAGTCAATTTTCTTAGGAGTGAAATGCGCAAATGGTTCCTTTAATGACGGTATTAAGTCAATTCAAGGTTGGGTGGAGAGATTTGTCCTGGTGACGTCATGCGTCATTTTCTACTTGTGCTTTTAGTTTTAGTTGTGTGGTGGAGATTTTGTTTGCTTATTTATCCATTTTCTTTCATAATTGTATATCTTTCTTAATATTTACATTTGTTCATTTTTTACCTTTCTATTTGTATAGGACTAATTATAACCTATGCTACGATTGCTTATGTGATGAGTTTTATTATAAATTATGATGATAATAATAATAATAATGTGGTATAAAAGTTATTAGATAATAATTCCATTCATGTAATGTTATTGACCAGATGCATCAACGTCATCCAGTCACGTGATTGTGAATGAGCTTACGGCGGAAGTATTGGAAACTAGCATTGCTGAGAGAACAAAACGGACTACAACTCCTAAAAACGGAGCTTCCTCTCTTAAATCGAGAAGTGGCTGCTTCAAGCACATGTTCGATTACGTTATAGGTGGAAGTAGGACATCAGGTCAGGGCTCACAAAGAGTGGTATTTGGAGAAGTTAAGGATCGCCTAACTCGATGTTGACCCGTACCTTCTCCCCCCAGTCAATTTTATCGATTAAATAAAATGTATATTTTTGCCCAAATTCACCCTAGATGATATTTACCATTATCGTTAACAATGCATCCCCTCACACTGGAGCAGATTTATATGTACATTTTGCTGGTAGCATTAGCAATAGTCCACTTTTCTGTGGCTTTTCTGTCTACAGCCAAACATGATACGTACTGACGGAGAGGAAAATAGTGAAACACGCAATTGACTTAAAAGATAAAAATGTCAATGTTGCGGCGCACATACAGGACAGTAGTAAGAGACACGTTTGACGTGTGTCATTGTCCTCCAAATTAATGGAAATAAAATAAATACAAACTTGTGATTGCTTTATCTTGTAAAAAGTGTTCACTGCATATTAGGGAGTACTTGGATGGGTCCCAGTCCTTTTGGTTGATTGCCGCTGGCCATCGTCGTCTTCTGTCTTCATGACGAGCAGGTATCAGATAAAAAAGCTTATGTCCTTGCCTGTTAGTATAATCAACCGCGCTGCAAAATGTCACAGTTTTGGCTGTAATGCGCTGAAACAGGTTGTTTTGGTCAGGTGTCCGTTCTGCCGTCTGTCATGGAGAGTGGGCGTGGCCGTGACGTCACATGCAAGGGGTCAATAGCCTGGTTGTACCACACCATAGTACAAATGACATTTCATAATAAGGTCTGGAGGTGCTCCATTGAGCTCCGTTTACAGGGGGGAGGGGTTAACTCCTTTTGCAGATTGAAACGATTGGATCTGAGTTTACCGTGACATATGTAATGCGCACGAGTGTGTTGTTAGCATTTAGCCATCTGAGGCGTAGCGCCACAATCTTGACCAGCGATTACATTTGCTAAACATTCCTCTAGCTCCTGCTTCAATTTCTTGATAGAACCAGACCGGATTACTTTACTATCGTATTCTTCGCCATTGCCAAACTACAACCTGCCCGTTCGGCGCAAACTCTTGACGTCACCGGCACCGACCTACAACATCCGCCTTCCGCGCTCTCTGAGTAGCCGGTCGAAATACGACCGATTGTATTCGCTAACACAGGAACCAGACCCAGACGTTACATGCAGTGAAATGATGATTGAGCGGAGTGTTCGGATGGCTAAGGCCAGGCTAGTAATGTTATAATCTGGTGGTTTTTTTAGGTGGCACTCTCTCTCCTCGGTCCGATTCCACCTCCAAACCATAGACTGTATATATTAACGGACAGAGTCACGCCTATCTCCGCCGTTCTAACTAATGGGCCAAAAAATGTGCTCTACTGGAGCAATCCAAAATGGCCGCGAGTGGTCCCGCCCACAAGAAAATGGTGAAAAAACGCATCTGCGCATGCGTCAGCTGGCGAGAGCTCCATTCATTTGAACGAGAGACTTCATAAATTCACAGCGAGTAAACTAGAGTGGACCAAAAAAATTCACCCCCCTCAGCATTGACACACATGTGGAACGGAGCTTTGGGCCAAGAGCCAGATTTTGGTCCATCCTGTAAAGACGTTTTCGAGAGGTCTGCCAATGCTATATGTTAAGATAAGATAGGATGTGCTTTATTTATCTCACAAGGAGAAATTTACATGTCACATTGAGCATGGATAGAACACTCAGATTGTGCAAAAGGAGGAAATGTGCAAACATGTTACATGCAGGATATATATGTACAATAAAAGTTAGCTTGGCTAATTCTTCTTCTGGGTCCACCCCCATCGGCCCGGGGTGGTATTGCAAGCATGTCAGCGCACGCCATTTTGGCCACTTATGAGCTGGGACCCGCCCCCACTGACTAAAACATCAGCAAATAGCAGCTCACACACCTGTGTCTCGCTGCTCCTCCTCCTCACACACCATTGCTCCACACAGAGCGCTCTTTCCTGCCTCTAACTCACTCAGAGTTAGAGTTGGTCTATGCTTGTTATAATGTACTTTTGAACAAGAAAAGTCACGGAGCTCAGGTGGTGCTCCAGTATAATCGGTCCGTCTGAAACTCATTCGTGAGGAACGTTCCGCGGTGGAAAATACACATACGATTATAATGCGTCAATTTTTTTTTACGAGCTAATTTTGTTAATTAATCGTAATTAACGCGTTAAAGTCCCGGCCCTAATAATAACTATAAATTGTACAACAGCTGAAGGCGCTGTGAGTGACTTCATACAGTAAACAAAAACAAAAAAGAAAAAACACTAACAAAATTCTAAATATACAATCATTACGCCCTATTTACACAATAACATCCCATTAAACTATCAAACCCGTATTGCACAAGTACACCAGTATCAGACCATGAAGAAGATAAGATAAAAGAGCCTTTATTTGTCCCACAGTGGGGAAATTTCAATGTTGCAGCGCACATACAGGACAGCAGTAAGAGCACACAGGGGGCACACAAAATAGACAAAATAAGTATGTTTCTTAGCTATCTCTAAATTCTTCAATATCAATATAAATGCATTATTATGTATTTACTTACAGATGAGATGACATATAATACTTCTGCATATCTTAACATAAAAAGAGTTGGCGGGTTTGCTCCTCCACGAATCTGCCATGTCTATTGTCACTTTACTTGGTGCAATAATAATTTGAATAATGTCAGGATGTGCACTTTACTGAGTCACTTTGTCCCAGACCCTCACGCTAACCTTTTGCTTCTTTCTTTTTGCTAAAGTTAGATATTATATGTTTATCTTAAAGCATTTAGTTATTGTTCCCTCACCTTGTGCTGTTGTGCTCCTCATTCCTATACTGTCCTGAAACTGGTGATGAAAGGATCTCTCAGCCTCGGTGCTTGTCTCTATAGATGGATTCTGTAAGTACGTACATTAGCATTAATACAGCTCTTTCCACAATTTGCTCTTGCTCCACAATTGATTATTGTTATTCTTTGCACTGGCTCCTCTGTCTCATTTTTATTAGTATATAGAGTGGTGCATTGGCTTCTTTAGAGCTAATTTATATCCACATTTATTGCCGTGTTGGTGATTTTCTTAATGAACAGTTGGAAATGGCATGGTCTCAAACTCAGCTTGCAAAAAAAGATAAAGAAAAGTCAAAAATTGCTCAGATTTGGCAAAAAGTTTCTTAATTCAATTACATTTTGACTGCCTTAAAACAAGATTTTCCAATGGGACAAAGCAAAATGATCTTGTTTTATAAAGATACAAGATATGTCTCTCTTGGAACGAGAAAATAAAGCAACAGTTTTTGAAATAAGACTAAATAGCTTTGTCCAATTGGAGAATCTTCTTTTAACACAGTCAGAATGTGCTGTTTTTTGGACCACTCTAGTTTAGCTGCTGTGGACTTCAGAATGCACTTGTGAAATGAATGAGGCTAGTGCAGCTGACGCATGCGCAAATGCATTTTTTCACGTTTTCCTGCCCAGTGGCCATTTTGAAAAAGCCCACAGAAGGCAACAGTGATGGTACATTAGTTTGAACGGCGGAGATAGACCTGACTACATCAGTTAATATATACAGTCTATGATACATACACATGTACATATACGTCTATATATATATACACACAAATATAAACACACACATACAAATATACATATACATCTACATTTACAGTACATACACATACACACAAACTTAAACACAAATACGGATACAATACAGTAAAATACTGTTTATGAAACAATAAAAGTGTTGATTATTCAATATCTATATTTAGGCTCTGGAGACAAATTTATTATTATTGTATTTATAATTTTTCACTTCATTTTCAATTGTCACAACTTTCACAATCACCAAAAGAGGGTTTCCATGGTAACACAAAGCATTCCATTAGAATCGTGTTACCATGGAAACGTGTCTTCTCACATCCTTCTGGAAGAAACTGCAAGCTGAAGACGTCAGTGAGCAGAAGGCCAAGGCCAAGATGGAGCACATGTTTAAGGACCTGATCTGTGTGTCGGCCAATGAAGTCCTCAGGGCGTTGGTGACCAGGACGTGTCTGTATGAATGTTCCCCTGGTACACAGGACAGGAGTCAAAGGTTCACTCAGCCACATCTTTAGAATCATCGTCAAAACCACGTCTACAGAGGAGTTCATCGCTCTGGACAGAGTCATAAAACTCCTCTGTACAGAAGTAACTCACATGGTCAACTCTGTGCTGAAGGACAACTGTGGCTTTGAGCGTGTTCTGCTGGTGGAGGAGAAGGACTACTCCACACCACGTAGAACTCTGCGCCACATAGCTGCTAATGCACCAATGTTCCTGCCCCACATGACCTTCTCTGACCAGTGGGAAAAACTTCTAGAGGCCGAGATTTCCAAAGGTCTCACTGAAAGAGAACTGAAAAGTGGGATGCTGGACTCTGAGAACAAAGAGACTGAAGTCTCTGCCTCAGAACAGGAGCGAATGATCCCGGTCGACTTCATGTCTTTGCAGAACCTCTAATGGAGCAGATGGAAGTGAAGCAGAAGGGTGACATTCTTTCACTTGGATAACTCATGCTCCAGTTTGATTCCCCTGGTGCCCCCCACGATGAGACTGAAACTCAGCTTAAAACTGAGCAGAGCTCGTCTTGTGAACCAGCAAAGAACCAGGAACCATCTCCTCAGAGCTGCTTGAACCAGGAACCAGCTCCTCAGAACTGCTTGAACCAGGAACCAGCTCCTCAGAACTGCTTGAACCAGGAACCAGCTCCTCAGAACTGCTTGAACCAGGAACCTGGCCCTAAGACGCGAAGGAAGCAGAAACCAGCCAAGGATCTGCAGGGTGGGCTTGAAGAGCCAAAGACCCCGATCGAAAGCTTTTCCACAAGCGAACGAGGAAACTCTCCCCCGATAGCGCCTGCACAGACGAGTTTATCCAACACCGAGACTCAGCAGGTGGAATCCATCAGAAACAACTTACCCTCTGATGAACGAGAGAAGCCTCCTCCCATAAAAATCAGATACAGCTTACCTTCTGATGAACGAGAAGGGTCTCCTCCCATAAAAATCAGATACAGCTTACCTTCTGATGAACGAGAAAGGTCTCCTCCCATAAAAATCAGATACAGCTTACCTTCTGATGAACGAGAAAGGTCTCCTCCCATAAAAATCAGATACAGCTTACCTTCTGATGAACGAGAAAGGTCTCCTCCCATAGCCGTCAGATACAGCTTACCTTCTGATGCCCCCTTCATGCCTCTGCACCTGATCCCAGACCAGGGCTCGACTGAGATCATGAAGAAGCATGAGATCTCCTCTCAGTGGGACACCGTTTACATCTATAATTTAGCGTGGGAGGTTTCCCGACATATTCTCCAGGAAAAACCCCTGTCTCTGGAACACCCTCTGGTGATGAAGCTGTATCAGAAACTAGAAGAACAAATGTGGGAATGGAATGTGAAGGAGAGTCCAAAAAAATAGCTTGTGACATTTACAGAGACCTGTGCTCAAAGAAAAAGAAGAAATGGATTAAGTTTTCTGCACTGGTCATAGAACAGGAAAGCAACAACATCATCACAGAGATCCACAACCATCTGGTTGGACCAAAGAAGAGAGGCAGACTGTGCTCCTGCTTCCACTCCATCCGCCATGCTCTGTGCAGATCCTGTTAAGCTCCACTCACATTTCTGCAGGCCACTTCTGGACACACTTCCATCATCACATTTTGTGGCTAAAGTATCCTCAATACTTTTGCAGCAAAGTAATTGACATCCATTAACTTCTTCTAAAACCTATAAACCTGCTTCTTCTCAGCCTCAAACGATCTCGGATTTGATTCAGAGAAACAGATGAAGGGTGGAATGAAAGATGTTAGGAAATTCAACTTTGTTGATGTTTCTGAAAAGTACTTTTACTTTATAGAAAATACAGCCTTTTCAGCCAACGGCCACACTTCAGTTTCGGAAAGTATGTATGGCATCTTTGGTGAACGTTGAATTCACACAAATATCTTCAACAGCTCCACGTCTTTGGAAAACGATTCTCCAATGAAAGTGGAAACAGACTAAACTGCAGAAGTTTAGGCAAAGAGAGATT